TAGGCTATCCCCCTGCTACTATGCGTGGCATAGGCTATCCCCATGTGCAGTTTAGCTTCCCAAAGTCGCTATTGCCTCAACCACTGCTTTGTGATGTTTAGTTCATTTTTCATTTATTACAGACATTTTCAAGTATACACAAAAGAAACAATGCAGGAACCCTCCTCTACCTATCCATCAGCCTTAGCATGAATGTAATCTCAGATCAGAGCCAGTGGGGACTGGATTCTGCGCCCTCCATGGTACACCTCAGTGTGCCTCCCTAACCAGCACAGTGGTGTGTGGGTTAGTCAGTCAGACGGTTTGTTTTTGTGTGTGCATGTGGTATTTTTTTATGCTGAGGAGTAAGCCCAGGGCCTCATGTATGCTAGGCAAGTATTTTCCCAATGAACTATATTCCACTGTGAAGCCACTAAGTATCCAGTCAGTCTCCTTAGCCCCCCCCCAATGCATATACACTACTTCATAAATGTAATTTTAGTTTAGAATCTGGCTCTGAAGCCCTAGAGTTCACCTGACTGGCATGTTCTGGAAGTCTGTCACTCTTTCTACTCCCTTAACTGAGCCGCCCCTGGGAGGCCGGGCTGTCTGTCTGCACTTCTTTCACTGGGTTGATCCCATAGCATTTCAGTTTCCACTGTTGTGTTTTCCCAGTAAGCCAGGTCATCATCTTAAATCCTGTGGTCAGGTCATTGTCGTCATTAGCAGAAAAGAAGCGTGTGCATGCATTTCTTTACACTGGACGAGGTGGAAGTACACAGGGGTCGTCTCCCGTAGTCCCTAGTTTGCTGGTTGGTTTGTTTTGCTACGCAGCAAAGGCTGGCCTCTGACTTGAAATTACTCCCTGGTCTCAGACCCAAGTCCTGAGATTACAGGTGTGCACCAACACACCCAACTGACCTAAAAATATTTCCTAGGGCCTCAGTCACCTGCCCCTTCACGGGGGAGAGGGAGGGAGGTGAATGCTGCCTCCACAGTAGGCAGTAAAGGGGGTGAAGCTCTCAAACCGGACCTTAGGGGGCGAGGACACAGACACAGAGTGCTGCCTTCAGGTCTGCTGCGCCTCTGGTCCTGAGAGCTGTCGAGGGTGATACCTGTGCCTGTAAACTGCAGCAGCGCGGTGCAGCAGCTTCTTGAACTTCCGTTCTCCCCATCCCCTGCGACCTGGTTTACCTTCGGGTCCACTTTTTCTCTGATCAGACCTCACGGTGGGTTGTCTGTTACTTCTAGCTCACTCTCCAGCATTGAGTACATTTTATCTCAGTGAGGCCTGTCTGTGTCACCTGTCCCTGTGTGCCCACGGGATCCTCAGTACATTCCGTGTGTACTTTAAAGCAATGGCATTGAAATGGCCCTCATCTGTGGTACTCCACCCGCACACAGAATCACTGAGTCTCCCCAGAACAGTTGAGTCTGAATGGCCGGGGTGCAGCTGCTGCTTCACCTGGTTCCTGTCATGTGTATTCAGGGGAGACACACCTCACCAAACTGAGCTGCAGACCCTAATGTGTCCCTCAGTACACTAGGAAAGCCACTAGCAATGTAGCACCTCACGATTAAAAAGCACTCACTAAAAACAGAAGTTAATCAGGCAGGTGAGAAATGTACCGATAAAACCACACCAATGTGGATACCACCAGTTATTCTAGAACTAGAAATTTGCCTTATAACAAAACAAAATAAAAACTAGTGACTTGACTTATATAAGCAATTCTTCTGGGCATTGGAAATACTTTTTTTTAAAGACTAGGATTCATGTAAGATACGCGACTTGTGTGGTTATGCCTTTTGGACCTGGGGTTCCATTTGAAGACTCCCCTTTCCTTTCACACTGCAGCACTGGGGTGCTAGGCCCTGGCGTTAGTCAGCACATTCCCGTGGCTCTGGGCTGCTGGCGGCGCCATCTGCTGGCAGACACATGGTACTTCCTCAGGCTAGAGCAGCGGGGAGCCGCCTGCGGTTTGGGAACCGCTGGCAAATCGCGTCCATGGCAACCGCTGCCAGGAGGATTTCCGCTGTTCTTTAACAGCCAATGGCTGTGGGTCTGACAGAAGCAACCTGCAGCATCCGAACCCTTGCCGATTGGTCAGGCTTGGTCCTATCCCTGTGGCCTGCAGCTGCAGTGGGCGGGGTCGGAATAAGCCCAGAGTTGTCTGGAGCTGCTTCTAGGGCAAAGTGGCTGGTGAGTGCGCCACGCTGGGGTGTGGAGTAGGTGACTAATTACTGGGTAGAGGGCAAGACAGGGAGGAAGTATGGTCTGAGTTCTGTACAAATGAGGATCACCTACTCGTTCTGGCTTTGCTCATTTAGTGTGTTGTTCTGAGACCAGAACGGCGGCCACTGCAGGCCAGGCCTGCGGCTCTCCACGGGCCTGGCAGAATATGCTTTCAAACAGCGGGGCTGCCCATAATGTCGTCTTTTAAAAAATTTTAAAACAGTTTCCCAGTTATTGGAAACTAATGTTGCTAATGTGGCCAGCATCCTTTGAACACCTTTCTCTTTGGAACAGTTTCCTTAAGGGTGCAGTAGCTAGGAGTACCTTCCCGTAGCAGGAGAAGATGGTCCCCACCCTGCAGTGTGCACAGCCTCGAGTGAAGGGCCAGCAAGCAGCGCCTTTGTTGAGGGGCCTTTGATCCTCTTCATGGCCCTGGTCCCAATGGACTTGTCCTCTTTTCCCCGCCCACTGTGACTCCTGTCTGGTGATGACATCATCTTTTATACCTGTGGCTTGGTTAGGAAGCCTGTTGCAGTCCTTCAGGAAGCATAGCTACAGTGACCTGTGGTGTGGGAACAGCCCTTCCCTTACCCGTAGACTCCGGGTCTCCTAGTAAGGAAGCAGACGCCTCTGGCACAAGGTGCGCGTGCCCGTGCTCATCATGCTCGTGTTTGCAGGAAGAACGCTATGGAACTGGAACTCGCCAAGTGCAAGATGGACGTGATGTCTCTGAACAGCCAGCTACTGGATGCCATTCAGCAGAAGCTGAACCTCTCTCAGCAGCTTGAGGCTTGGCAGGTAAACAAGAGCCCGAGGCCTAGGTGTGGAGCACACCCACTCAGAATCGGCATGTATAAAATAAGGAGAATTCTGATGAGATTCCTGTGAACCCTTGGGTCCCAGTCCTCAGGGCAGAATGCTTTATGGTGTCCTTGAGACAGAAAGCCCAGGCAGCCTGTTACGGATGTACCTCCACCAGATGTGGAGCGGGGCCCCCCTCAGCTGGCCATTCTCTTTGTTTTAAACTAACGTGGGACCAGAAAGCTGACTGAAAACTCAGAAGTGGGCTCAGCTCAGCAGTCCCCCCAAGGGCACTGTTCTGGCACGGGTCCTGGAGAGAACACGTCACTGCATCTATCTCTAAGACCCCCATTTTCAGGGTCTCCCAACTCCCTGCTGTCCTAGGGTGTGACTCTCGGGTGAGGGTGAGGTAGGCTGATTCATTCAGAATATGGGTCTAGTAACTAACCTGCTGGACTGAAGTCCCCTGTGATTTAGGTGAGCCCCGCAATGACCAACAGAACAGCAGTGTCCATTACGCTATGGCCCTGTGGGGCTGGCAACCAGACTCTGGACTGCGCCATCAGGTCTCTGGCTCCCTGGCTGCCAGCCAGCCAGAACCATGGCTTACCAAAGCTGTTCTCTCTTCTCTCCCAACTACAGTTCGCTTCCTCAGGGCTTTTTACTATCTGGCTCCTTTGGTTTCTGATCTAGTGGCCTTTCTCAGTTCCTGTGCCAACAGCTTTAGTTGTACACCCCTCCTGCCTTTGAGGTGAGACTGAGCCTTGCATCCATTCATCTGTCGTCCTCTGTCCTGCATCTGCCATTTCCCCATGGCCCACTGTGTTGTGTGCCGGAGCCTGGCCTCATGTCTGTGCCGTGTGGTGTACCATCAAGTCCCAGTCTCCTCCTCCTGACACTGCAGCCCGGGCAGACGGATGCCACCTTATCATAGATGGGCTCCCACTGCAGGAATAGCAGCTGGCACCGGTCACGACCAGCTCGTGCACATGTGCGTGTGCTCGTATAAAGTTCCAAGGAGACGTGTCCCTGGGACTCCCGTGTTGGGTCTGGTTAGTTAAAGGATAAGAATGCAATTGACGTGACTGTGCCAGAGAAAAGGGCAGCGTTGTGAGGACTTTCCTAAAGCTCTGTGGCTTTTCCCTTTGGTGGGGAACAACATAGTTTATGGAGCTTGTCCTAAGTGCCGCGGATCGGTGTGCTGAGACTCTGCACTGGGGTTTTACAAGTAGGAGCCGTGTGCTGACACCAGTGACACAGGGTCTAATCCGAGAGGCGAATGGAGAGTGGAGCTGGCAGGGGGAGGAGGAGGGGGAGGAGGAGGAGGAAGAGGGGGAGGGGAGGAAGAAGAGGAGGGGAGGAGGGGGAGGGGAGGAGGGGGAGGGGAGGAGGAGGAGGGGAGGAGGAAGAGGGGGAGGGGAGGAAGAAGAGGAAGGGGAGGAGGAAGAGGAGGAGGAGGGCCGGGGGGGAAGTTGAATGTGATGGAAGATGAGGATGGGGGAGAGGATAGGGATACAAGCCGTGTGCTCACCACCTGGGGAGGGGTCAGGAAGGTCCTCTGCTTTCATTTGGAGACCTTCAAAAATACTCGGATACTCATGATACTCGTCTCATGAGTGCCTACTGAGCCACACAGCCCAATTTTTCCATGCTGCAGGGAGCCCACCCTAACCTGGCCTCACCTGCCATGTGCTTGGACTCAGGCACTGAGTCCCTCTGGGTTTGTTAGGGTCTTTCTGTCAGAACATCTCATAGCTCACAGCTGGGTTAGAAGCTGAAGGAGACAGAGCGGTGGTGCTTGTGCACTGGCGGTAATCACCAGGGCTCCTTGCAGATGGTAGTGGCAGAGCCCATTGTCAGGTAGCAGCTTCTAGTCAGAGTCCAGCGAGGAGGAGGAACTATCCACAGCTGCTCTTCTGTAAGCTGCCTTCTGAAAGGGGGCTTTTTCTAGGCAGCCAGCTAATTAGAAAAGCAAGGTCCTTACGTCCATAAAGAACCTAATAGACTGTGAAGTTGGAACAAGACAGCATCTCAGGAGGGCATTGCTTATAGCTTTAGCTGTGGGAGAGCTTGGCCATAGGGGTCACCCCAGGCATAGAGTGGCTATACCTGGTGTGGGGGCTGGCTTAGCCTGAGAGTGACTTGAAGGGGAAATCGGGACACAAATAACCTTGGGCACATCTTTGGGCTACAGAGCTCACAAGCCAAGGTCACTCTAGGCTGAGGGTTGGGTGGCAAACCAGACGGTGGGCATCCAGGCAGCCCCATAAGCTAGTACGAGCGTGTCCCAACGTGGTGCCAACATTCACCACTGTCTCAGCAAACCACAGTGCTTTCTCATCTCATCCCTCATCTTCACCTGCTGCCCACATTCGTCACCTCCCTGTCCAGCCCCAGGACCAGGTAAGAGCAGCTGCTCATCCCCACCCTTCTCCCTCTCTGCAGGATGACATGCACAGGGTCATTGACAGGCAGCTGATGGACACACACCTGAAGGAACAGAGCCGGCCTGCTGCTGCCTTCCCTAGGGGCCACGGCGTAGGGCGGGGGCAGGAGCCCAGCACCACAGACAGCAAACGGCTCTTCTCCTTCTTCAGGAAAACTTAAGTCAGGAGGAGTCTGGCCATTGAGAAGGGGGGACTAGCGGCAGTTGAAGAGGGTCCCCCCTTAGCTGGAACCAGGCAGCTACTCTGCCTGCCCAACTGCCCTGGGGCCCAGGAAGCTCCAGAGAGCTCACTCCCTATGTCAGTGTAATGGAGACTGAGAGGTTGGGGGCCTGCCTTTTCCTCTGAAGGCTGTCCCCCACCAAGGGACAGGAATGAACCCTGTCCCCACTGCCCAAGCCAAACCTCAGCCCGGGCTTCCCCAGGATCCTGTTAGTGAGCAGGGCTCAGCCACTCCCCAATGTAGCCCACTGATGGCCTCTGCCACTCAGACCCAGCTGATCACAGCCCACACTAAAGGCCCTGCTGCCTCCTTGGGTTTGAACATGGGGAAGAGATTGAGGCCTCCTGTGCATGCCTCAGGAGGCCTGAGCCTCCATTCCTGCCCCAGCCACTGGCCTGGAGGAAGGGGAGGCACGGCCCCTCACCCGTGTGCATGCACCTCTGCTGGAGCCCCTGTATAGCAGGAGGCCCAGCCTAAGGCTGCGAGGCCCAAGAACTGGAGCTCTGTTGAGGCCACCCTGTACTCTAGGGAAGGCCATCTTCTGGCTGCCACCACCACTCAGCTTCCTCCAGTGCAGTCCTTACCCTTGGGAGGCCTGGGCCAGGCAGCATTCCCATTGGCCTCTACAGGCTTTAGCCTTCCAGACTTTTCCCTCATGGGATAGGACTGGGAGGGCATGTGTCTTCCACAGCTCCCTCCCACCTCAGTGCAACTTCTTGGCCAAGCCGAGCAAGTTGAAGCCACAAGAACGGCCTCTGAGGGGCCTGGTTCTACCACCCTCACACTGAAGGCAGCGTGGGTGCCACAGGGTGGATGGGGTGAGGCCGCTGGGATCCAGATACTGCCCTCCAGGCCTCTACGGGACAAAGGCCTAAGCCTGCTGCTTCTGCCCCTTCCGCAGCAGATACCCACACCTCTGCCGAGCCCCAGCTCAGAGGCTCTGCGGGCCCAGCCTCAGCTGCTCACCACTCGCTGAGCCTCCTGCCCTCCACGGGGAAAAGCACAGCAGGGCTGAGCCGAAAGAATGTACTTATAGATATGTACATACCACAGTGCTGTAATTTTGTATGTAGCAATTGTGTAAATACACGTATGGATTTTATAATACACACATATAAATCTATAAAGGCATATTTTTAGAAAAACAGCGCACCACTGCTTCTTTTGAAAATAGTCTGAATAAGAATAAAATGAATTTCTACAGAACTTCTGCCTCAGTTCCTGGGTATATGGAGGGTGGTTTGGTAGGAGTTTTGCGATGTGTCAAAAGCCACCACTGGCTGTTGGTGTAGAGAGCCAGTGCCAGCCCCAGAAGGGAAGGGGCACTTGTAAAAGTGGCAGTGTCATCCTCACGCCCTTCTCCAGTGTGGGAAGTGTCCAGCTTAGAGAGTTCACTGCAAGCAGAAGCTTCCACTCCATCCTTCCGGTGTCTGCAGAACAAACACAGAGCTTCCCCTGCCGTCTTCCCACACGTGCTCTGGGCCCAGAGGGGAAACACCACCCTGAACCACTGGTCCATGGAGAACACACTTGGCCCCTGACAGTGTCCCAGGGCCGTCCATGGGCACCTGTGCAGCACCTGAGGACAAGAGCTGGACCAACAGTGCAAGGAGCCAGGTACGCAGAGCGCAGGGGAAGCAGAGCAGACAGACCCTGGAAGGAAGTCTGGCAGCTTGAACCTTTATTTTTAGTTTTGTTTTTTTGTTTTTGTTTTTTTTAAAAAGCATAATTAGAAACTTTCAATACAGAAATAATCCTAGCAAACCATTTAAGTTTGTTGTTTGACAGGAGTTTCACATCAGGTCCACCAGGACACCAGTTCAGCCCAGAGTCCCCCACCCCGACCCTGATCCCCACCCCACCCCACTCATGCATGTAACACTGCAGGACAGGCACACTATTGTCACCAAAACCACTCACCACCTGGGTTTTGACAGGCGGGTGTCGGAAGCCACAGAGGTGTCCAGCTTGGGCTGGATGCTCCAAGATCACCCTCCTATTGCTTCAACTGGCAAATACTCCATACTGGTTTCCCACGTGTTCAGAAGCATGTCGCCTGCCCAGAACAGCAGGCCCTTGACCAGCCAAGACAGGCTAAAAACAGACTCTGCTTTAACTCCCAGCTCACCTGGGCCATATGGAGTCGCCTATGCCTGACCCTCAAGTGTCTTCCACAGCCCCCAGACCCAGCTTGACGCTCAGAAACACAGGCCTGTCACGCAGATCCCCGGCTCTTGACAATTCGGACAAGTGGAGAGACAGGTGAGAAGAAAGCCCCAGTTTTATTGATTGAAAACCCATCCACAGTGTTAACATGGAAAATCTGCAGTATTCTGTGATGATTGTCCCGTCAGGACTGTGCCTGGAAATCGCCTAGGAAAGAAAATCTAAAACACATTATGGTGTCCAAGTCAGTTCTTCCGAGTTACGTGATCCTTTAGGGGAAAGGGAACAAGTGTCCTGGGAGAAGGGGAATGTGACCAAACGCAGATGACCCTGGTGGCTGCCCCCACCCCACTGCCACTTCTTCCCAGTGGCAAAGACATCTTCCTACCACCTTCATACTAAAAACAGATCTGTCAGTAATGCAAAAGCTGCCTGTCCCCGCTTGGAGGCGTCTTCCCCATAGCCCAGCAGCCCCTGGCTCTGCCACAGGTGCCTGGCACTATATTACAGACCATCTCCTGCGGGAGGCCCTCGCCCGTCGCGCACACAGGTACGAGGGTGCAGAGCCTTCCTTTCCCACTGAGGGGAGAGAGCCTAGCCCTGCACACAACAGAAGCCATACATCTTTTCTAAAAGTACGAGCCCAAAGTGGGACGGTCACGACTTTTGCTACTGAGCCAATCAGATCTCAAGGAAATAATTGTGAGGAACTTTGTTTGATTCGGCTTCATTGGTTGTATTTGTTAAAATAATGCTTCCCCTTGCAAGCTCCATCTCTTTACAGATGTCCTACCACCTTTCTGCAGGAACTGAAACATGGTGGGTGAGTGAGAAGCCATGGCTCCCCTGGGTTTGTAGCAGAGGCATCTAGAAGGCAGAACGAGACACCTGTTGTCCAAAAGGGCAGGACTGAGTTCCTCTGTGGAACTGAAGGCCTGGGGCCAGCAGAGGGCAGGGCCTGTGTGGAGTTCCCCAGCTCCCAGAGCTGTAGGGTAGGAGCCACGTGGAGTGCACTCCATGGGCCAGGGATGGCCAAAGACTCAGCTAGGGCACGAGGTTGGCTCCTCAGGAGCTGCCGTCGAGAGGTGACTGGAGGGCTTGGGAGGGTCTGTTGCAGCAGGTTGGCAGGAAGGAGCCAAAAGGCAGAGCAGGCTGAGGGTGTGCAGCTGGTTAATGCAATATACACTATGTACAAACTGGTTAATCAGTCCACTCAGCTGGCAGCGTCCTCACCAGGTCCAGGCGCCTCGGCAGGGAAAAGGGCACCGTGGGGAAGGGCGGGCTCGTCCAACACCTCCTTGGCACTCAAGGGGAAAAGGGGAGGAAGTGCCGATGGCGCCTCCCGATACAAAAAACGTGGAGAGAATTCTTTAAATAACGGCACTAAACTGAGACTGTCCCCCGAGAGCCTCCGAGGCCCCGGGCTCAGGCTGGGAGGCTGCAGTGCTGTCTCTGCAGTGGGCTGGGGCATTAGCAGCAGCGTTTCTTTCGTTTACTGTTTTTGGTGAGCTTCACCACATCGTTCTGTTGTTGCTGCTGCTGTTTCGCCAAGTTGTCTTTCTTTGCTCGTAGAACCAGCTCTGTGATACAGTTGAACATCTGGAGGGACGACAGGACAAGGCTGACCCCAGCTAGCACAGCCACCTCCCCAGGCCATTTCTATTCCGTCCTCAAAACCTGTGTGTGCGCGTGCACACATGTCAGGGTGTTTCACCCTGACTCTGTAGCCTGGCCTTAAACTCGCAATCCTCCTCCTGCCTCCCCAGTGCTAGGGCTGCAGGTGTGTACTGTGTACCCTCAAAACACATTCTAGTACAGGGGTTCTCACTTTTCCTAACACCACGACCCTTTAATACAGTTCCTCACGCTGTGGTGACCCTCAACCATAACATTATTTTACTGCTACTTCATAACTGTCACTTTGCTGCTGTTATGAATTGTAATGTAAATATCTGATATGTGACCCCTGTGAAAGCGCCATTTGACCCCAAAGGGGCCACGACCCCAGGTTGAGACCTGCTGCTCTGGGCAGAGGTAGTGGAGTTAAAGGTTAAAAGAGAACGTTGAAAGCCTGTAGCTGACTCGGGACGTCACTCTCTTCAGTCTTTATTCCGTTTTGTGGGTTTGTGCACAAGTATCGAGACAGAGGCAGGGCCTCTGGAACTGGAGTCACAGCCAGCTGTGAGCGGCCTGGCAGGGATGCTGGGAACTGAACCCAGGCCCTCTGTGCGAGTGGTACAACCCTAGTCACTGAGCCAGCTCTCCAGTCCTTTCTAATACATAGTTAGAAGCCTTCAACTAGAACCTTCTGGCAGACAAAGGGATGTTGCTCTGCGTGTAGATGGAGGGACGTCACTGCCTGTCCACTGTCACCACCTCCCTGCAGTGGCGCCAGACACTGCTTAAGCCTTTCCCTGACTACCCAGTGTCCTCGTGAGAGGAGCCACCAAGCCACAGGCCCACTGTGCCCCAAAAGGCTGGCGCAGCTGCAGCAGTGGAAGGAAGCAGAAAGGCTAAACTAGGAGCGCAGATGTCCTTGGAACCAGAGAGATGACCCAGTGCTCGCTCACGAGCTTTTATGTGTATGAGGAACGGGTGGGTCACGGCAGAGCATCTGAAGGGCACCTCTCTCCAGGCCATGGTTCCTGATGCCCTCCCTCTTCCGGCTTCTGCATGTGCACAAGTGCATCCATGCACACACAGACAAGTCTTTACAAAGAGAGCTGAGCTAACGTCTCCACCTAGTTAGCAAGCACGCTGTATGGATACTCGGCACACCTCCGCTCACCTGATCTTCCCGACCTGGACAACAACTCCCACTCCCTGTGTACACGAGCACGGGAATTCACAGAGGTGGGTCGGTCCTGGCCTGGCTCTAACGAGCCTGTGTACCCAACACAGTAGGAACCCAACTTCCCTAGCTCCTGCAGACTACTCTCTAGGGCCAGGGAATGGGCCAACTGGGGCTTGTGGCAAAAGCTTAGCTTTTCTCCCTTAGAATGCCACCGCTGTCTTACGCGGCTGCAGATGAAAAGCTTGCCTGGGTGGAGATGCCAACCATAAACCCAGGAACTTCTCAGCAGGTACCCTTGCACTCTGGAGGCCAGGAAAGGAGCCACTGAGAGGGGCAGGGAAGAGGAAATGGGGGACTCAAGGAAGGGCCAACGGGAAGCAGCCGGAATAGAGGCTTTGGCGTGGCTTTGGGGTGGGAAAGGCCTGGCCCGACTCCACCTCTCACCACTTAGTTCCTGAGGCCATTCATATTCAGTAAGAGGAACTTCAGTTTTCCTCCAAGAAAAATGGGACCCCACCCCAGAGGCCAGCTGGGCTACGAGCTTAGACTTTTAAAGGGCCTGCCTGGCAGCCAGCCAGCTGCACGCACTGAATGACTGGTGGTCACCCGGGCGTCTTAGCAGGCCTGGGTCCTCGCCGGCGCTCTGCCCGGGGCTCAGCCAGAGCTTACCTCCTCCACGTTGACGTTCTCCTTGGCACTGGTCTCAAAGAGCTGGATCCCCATCTGTCCAGCGAATTTGTAGGCATCTTCTGTCTCGACCACCTTCCGCTCAGGGTCGTCGTTCTTATTGCCCACTTTAAGACAAAGCATAGTCACTGCCTGAAGAGCACCGTGCGCTGCTCCCCCGCACTCCCCACCCTTGGGGCCCAGCCTCACCTAATATTCGGCACACATCGTCACAGTTCTGGTTGATTTCATGAAGCCATCGCTTGACATTGACAAAGGACTCAGCACTAGTGACGTCGTAAACCACAATGACCCCGTGGGTCCCCCGATAATACCTGTAGGGCCAAGATGTGCATGAGGGCTTTGGCCCAGGACAGAGCTGCTTCCCTGGGACCTGTCTACCGCAGGACGGGGCCTGGGAAGGTGCAGGTGCCCGGGGCCAGATCCAGTCCCGCACCCAGCCCTGACCACCAGCCAGAGCCAAGCCTGACCAGCAGGACAGGCTGCTCCAGCAGCACTGGCTTCTCAGGCCTGGCCCTGGCAGCAGTGGAGGGGGCAGGTAACAGTCTGAGGTGGACCA